GAACATATGAACACATGAACATATGAACACATGAACATATGAACACATGAACATATGAACACATGAACATATGAACACATGAACATATGAACACATGAACATATGAACACATGAACATATGAACACATGAACATATGAACACATGAACATATGAACACATGAACATATGAACACATGAACATATGAACACATGAACATATGAACACATGAACATATGAACACATGAACATATGAACACATGAACATATGAACACATGAACATATGAACACATGAACATATGAACACATGAACATATGAACACATGAACATATGAACACATGAACATATGAACACATGAACATATGAACACATGAACATATGAACACATGAACATATGAACACATGAACATATGAACACATGAACATATGAACACATGAACATATGAACACATGAACATATGAACACATGAACATATAAACACATGAACATATGAACACATATGTAAATGTGAGGATTATCATCTGACATTAAAGCAAGAACATAATTCAACCTGGTAATAATCTTGATAATTCAGTATGTCTTACTTGAGCAATCATTCACTTCGGTACTCTTGTTGTACCTATAAAAGCATAAGGACGAATGTAATTTTACAGTCTGCCATATTAGAAAAATTGTTTCATATGTGTATTGAAGAGAACATATGAACGACATGAGGGTTAGCAACTAATAATTCAGTATGTCTTATTTGAGAATTCAATCACTTCAATACTCTTGAGTTCCTGTAAAAGCATAACGACGAATATAATTTTACAGTCTGCCATATTAGAAAAACTGTTTCATATGTGTATTGAACAGAACATATGAACGACGATTATCATCTGACATTAAAGCAAGAGGAAATTTGCGACAACCCGGTAATAATATTGATAATTCTTACCACCTACGTCTACTACTGCGGATGTAACTACCGGTGTGCAACCCTTAAAACGTTGATCAGAATTTTCCGCTATTGTTCTTCACGAAGTATCTGAGTAAGCTTGAAGTTTTAAATAACCAATGCGTCTCGTTCCAGCGTGAAACGAGTTGCGTACATTATGCGCTTATGCAATAGCACGTAACCCCTTTATAAGCCGCCATCGAGGGAAATGAATGAAATTATTGGAAGGCAGGAATGAATGGATGTGGCTGTTGACAAAACGTGAAAGTAAGCTCGTGCAGCAGGTTATTTTTTTAAATGGCGCATTATCCGCGAAGTAGCCATTACACGCAGCGGGTTAGTATACATGCACGTGCTTGTAAATACAGCGCAAACATTTGCACTCTGATATCACGTAAGTGGAACGCCGTGGAACAATATTTGCACAGCCGATGAATACCGGTGTTACTTGGATTTGGAGCAACGGCGAGCTCACAGCAGAATTTCTCCGTGCGTTAGATTAATCGACGCGTGGCGATGGCTCAATTACGGGCTAACCGATCGATAATTACGTAACTTCCGGTAAAGCCTTTGAAGGACGAATTAAGCCGCCGCGACATTGACCGCTCAATCGCTCAATAACGCTTCGCGGCCGCTTTAAGAAGAATGGAAATAAATGAGGGTCATGACCCGTGTTCCGCGACCGCGGTTCGCGCAATCTTCTCTACAAGAGGTTATTCGTTCTTGCGGGTCGAGTGAACTCGAGATACAATTTCCATTTCGCTTCTTTTAATCTGCATCGATTCCCTTAGAATCACTGCTCTCGGTACACCTATTAACCCATTTTTCTGTCCTAAGCGTTTAAACCCGTTTGCTTTTTAATTCAGACACGAGCATCGTTAATCAGAAAATTCGACGCAATTACCAGCCAACACTTGTGCAAATATCGAGCATTGGTCACCGTAGGGTGCCGATAATGGCCGGTAGTCGCGTTTCCACGCGTCTAACGAGCCTAACAGGCGACACGCGTGATCCCCTCCTTTTTAACAAGAAGGTCAAAAGTCAGGGGGAAAAGCGAGAAGTATACGAAGATAAAACAGACGGTCGATCACGAGTTAATATCGGCAAAGGTGAGACACAGCTGGAGGCTCGAGCCAATATTTCGTAATGGACGCTTTTTGTCGTCCACGGAAGACCGTGTGTTTACTCCATTTCTCGGTCATGCTTCGGATTCCCTTGACCTCGAAAATCCCTTGGGAGACTCGCATCCAGGGTCGCCCTTTGTTTCCATACTTTCTTATCCTCTTGGTTGATCACGACTGATCATTAATTAACGCTGCAAACTGTCCTAAATGTGGCATACTTTAAAGTCCTACGTAATTATTCGATCTGTAGAAATTGTCATAATTAAAAGGAACTAGATTTTGGGTTTGTGAAACAAGGTATTTTACGAGAAATGTTACTTAATTGGACATTAGGTTTAATTAAATTCGGCGGTGGACAGCAGCGTGTTAACGAATCGTTTGTTCCTTAATTTCTTTTGCCATCTCATCGCGATGCATTCGCCCAGCTGCGCACGTTCTCCGTCCTCCTCTGTTGTCTGTGCGAAACGCACGGAATACAATACTGAGGCACGAACACGCACTCATGACAGGTACACTCAGGGGCAAAGGCAAGTAGAAGGAGGAACGAAGGCGGAGAAAGGTAGACAGAGACGAACAGGTGAACAGAGTCCGCGATAGCGGTGGGTCCGAGAGAGAAAGAGAGAGGAAGAGAGCGAAAGGAAAATATAGCTTCGGACAACTGTCAGCGGAACGCGCGTGTACCTTGTGTACGTTTCAGATATCTGTTCGATCGAAAAACCTCTGTTCGCAGACATCTCCATAAAGACGACTCCGATCGGTGTAACGACCGATCGTACGTCACGATCCTTCGTATTAACACGTTCGATTCTACGTAAATTTCTCGGACGTCAGACGGTTTGTGCGGTCAGCGGATGTCCAAGGTTCCCGATGAAACGCAACGTGTCCCTGACGGACGGCGCGATATCGCGAATGAAATTTTTATCTCGAGTTTGCCTTACCGTGTATGAAATTACCGGCTGAACGACGCTGGCGATCGTGTCTTCCTTCGGTTACATTCTTTTACGGTTCGTCGGCCTGCACTGTGGAGCGCACACGCGACCGAGAAACAGTGGAACGAAAACGGGGAAAAAAAGAAAACGTTAAAGAGAAACGCACGTTTCCTCGGTGCAACACTGAACGCCTTGCAGGCGCGGCGGAAGAAACTGACGGTGCGACACCGTCTGTTGACGGGCAAGCCTCTAGCCTGGCTCGATACCGTCCTTTTCTCCTGCGCGCATGTGCCACCTTCCTATGTGGCTGCTCGCCACTCTGTTTCTACTTTGCTCGGTTAATAAGTACGGTATCTGTTATGCACCCATATTTTTCAATTATTTACGGCAAATGGGAATAACATTTTCGTTTAACGTTGCGGAGGTCACCAATCGGGAAAATTTTTGTATACGATCCTCGTATATTTCGAATATTTGTAATACCGTCATTATCACCGATGGAATAAGGTAAATTTTATTCAAATTCGCGCGAACGAATATTTAAGACTCGGTCTCGGGAGGGTGACAAGTTTCGAGTTGATTACATTCTTACCCCGCTGATGTTTAATGAATATTTTAATTCTAAATTTGCCCCCGCTTCCTCGTTCGTTAATTTGAAGTTAAGCTTTCTGAAAAGGTTCTAATTAACGCAGGGCGAGCAGTTAGCACGGTTACTTAATTAAGTTAACTGATTGCAGTATGAAAGGGTAATTTAGAATACAAAGTAGCGTTCCAGGTTATGGTAAATGATTTTGAGAATTTTTTTTGTATTATCACGAGAAGGTACTTCCGTGTCCCTGAACACTTACAGATTCTACTTCGAGCAGAGTGCCAAAATTACTGCCTCTTGAATGGAAACACGTTTCGGTATATTTAGAATGTTCGAGTGGATAAATAATTTTGATGCCTTAACATGGACAGCAAAAAGAGCTGTATTTTCCTTAATAAAATACCTTCAGTGACCTTTCGAATTTAGGCCAACGTTAATCGGAATTGGGACTTTTGTGTATGCGCATTTAAACGAGTCAAGTATATTTTCGTGTCAATGAACGTATTGTCGTGCATGTCCGTAAAGAAATATTCGGATTTTCTATGAAAGCGATCAGAATAGATATAAATGCGTTATTGAAGCAACGTGATTTTCTGCAAACCTCGGAGAATATTTCAGTAGAGAAGGAAAGTTTGAATCAGACGATATAAATATCGTTCATCGAGAACAGAGAAAAGTCAGTTATCTATAGTTGTAGACAGGTCACGTGTACGTAAACATGCGATACTCTGGAAAATAACAAATCTAAATTGGCTCGATACCGTCCTTTTCTCCTGCGCGCATGTGCCACCTTCCTATGTGGCTGCTCGCCACTCTGTTTCTACTTTGCTCGGTTAATAAGTACGGTATCTGTTATGCACCCATATTTTTCAATTATTTACGGCAAATGGGAATAACATTTTCGTTTAACGTTGCGGAGGTCACCAATCGGGAAAATTTTTGTATACGATCCTCGTATATTTCGAATATTTGTAATACCGTCATTATCACCGATGGAATAAGGTAAATTTTATTCAAATTCGCGCGAACGAATATTTAAGACTCGGTCTCGGGAGGGTGACAAGTTTCGAGTTGATTACATTCTTACCCCGCTGATGTTTAATGAATATTTTAATTCTAAATTTGCCCCCGCTTCCTCGTTCGTTAATTTGAAGTTAAGCTTTCTGAAAAGGTTCTAATTAACGCAGGGCGAGCAGTTAGCACGGTTACTTAATTAAGTTAACTGATTGCAGTATGAAAGGGTAATTTAGAATACAAAGTAGCGTTCCAGGTTATGGTAAATGATTTTGAGAATTTTTTTTGTATTATCACGAGAAGGTACTTCCGTGTCCCTGAACACTTACAGATTCTACTTCGAGCAGAGTGCCAAAATTACTGCCTCTTGAATGGAAACACGTTTCGGTATATTTAGAATGTTCGAGTGGATAAATAATTTTGATGCCTTAACATGGACAGCAAAAAGAGCTGTATTTTCCTTAATAAAATACCTTCAGTGACCTTTCGAATTTAGGCCAACGTTAATCGGAATTGGGACTTTTGTGTATGCGCATTTAAACGAGTCAAGTATATTTTCGTGTCAATGAACGTATTGTCGTGCATGTCCGTAAAGAAATATTCGGATTTTCTATGAAAGCGATCAGAATAGATATAAATGCGTTATTGAAGCAACGTGATTTTCTGCAAACCTCGGAGAATATTTCAGTAGAGAAGGAAAGTTTGAATCAGACGATATAAATATCGTTCATCGAGAACAGAGAAAAGTCAGTTATCTATAGTTGTAGACAGGTCACGTGTACGTAAACATGCGATACTCTGGAAAATAACAAATCTAAATGTATCGAAGGCAGATCGAGAGACCAGACGTTTTTCATCGGTTTCTTGCTTCGATAATGTACCGCTTCCGCACTCACGTTTAATGATTCTTCCATGGCATAATTAATCAGATGCACGAAATAGTATATTAATTCGAAGCTTGGTACGTGTTATCTGATTCCATAAGCAGGTTCGTGGTGACAAAAAACTGTGTTCTTCGAACGACAAAGTCCACGAGCTTGCGTAACCCGATTAATCATTAAACCTTGTAAGTGCGTGTGCAATATCCTCGTGGCAATCAACCGCTAATTAAAAATGGAATATTTCATCGCGATACGAACGCTACAAATTCGATGAAATAATTTAGAGAAACCGAGTGGCCAATCTCGTCAAAAATGGTAATGGAGTCCGTAATAATTTATATTATAGCGTGTCACGCTAAACACGGATATTTCTACTGAGAGCGCGTTAACCGTAGTTGGAAGTTTGCTAAATTTCCAAGAAAATCTCGTTACGTCTAATAGCGTTGCTCAAAGCGGATAACAGTTGCCTCGCGTTTCCTAGTTTTTTGACGTACGGCAAATTTCAACGTCTCAGCAGTAAACTTTCGTGCTGAAACTTGCAAACATCGCTTAATCTTCCTTTAATTCACGGGAGGACAAAGTTCGTATCTACTAGTAACAAGTTCGAGGTATAACAATTGCGAAAAATGCGAAAGTTTTGCCGGAAAAGTAGATCCCCGTTTCGAGTAATGCTGCGCTATCTGTGAGGCTCTGATCGAACATCCATTGAACGCTCGTTTAATGCACGGGAACGCCTCTCGCTCTCACACATGCAACAGAAGGTCAATAAACATACATTTTACAGGAAAGTGTTTACGATTCTGTCTCTTTCACCTAACCTTAAAATTTAGGAGATCATGCATTAAGCGAGCATATATCAAGTCGATAAGAACGAGCCCGATTTTAGTAGAATATCACCGATAAGAAGTATCGATTCGAGAAAAAATGTCCAGTCCTCTCGTTCCGATAATGGCTCTGATATTTGTCAGCGATACTGATAATATAGTGCTTGGTTCTCTGTACTTTAGAGGTCGATACTTACCTCTACGTGTTGCTACCACGGATTGATTACTACCTTTTCGTGCGATAACGTAGATTGCAGTAATAAATCAATTTCTTCACATGTTGATACGGTCCCTGATAAAGCGAAATTGAATAATACCCGATTACAGGAGTTTCAGCGAAAGAGCCTTCAAATTTGAGCTTTAAACGCAGGGTTGTTTGAAATGCAATTTTCTTTTGACAAACGGTCCAGTTAGATGAAAATCCCATGAGGCGGAGCTATGGTAGGTAGGACGGGCAGCTTGTCTGCTTGAAAAATAAGTCGGCGTTGTTCGGTGGATTTCTTGTTTTGTACAATGCACGTCGGTCCCGAAGGAGTTTATACGACAGAGCAGCTCAACGATGTTTTTATACACGGTAAGCAACGTGCAGGAAACGGTAAAGGTATTTTGTAACGAATTTATTAACCCCATATTTCATTTATGCTCATCCTATAACGAGCTTAAATCAATTTTTAATTCCATTCATGAAAGTTTGTATGGCCAACGGGTTATTTAACGTGGGGAGCAAGGGAACATAAAAATCTCCATCTTTTAGAAACTCGTATCTTTCTGTTTCACGCTTCATGTAAAATACACAGTCTGATTAACCCGCTAATAAAATTTCCACACTATGTACCCTGCTAATTACCGCCCGACGCGTTGAAAGAAGCAACGTATCGCTCGAAACACGAAAAGGAAGTCACGAAAGCGACGATGCTGTCGCTGAGAAATAAACGAGCTTCCCTTTTTTACACGGACGAACTAACTGGACAGACCGCAGGGGTGTAAACCCTCGTTTTGAATATGCATGACAGTTCTCTTTTTCGATGTTGTCGCCAGGCTCCTCCTTCCTTTCGTGCTTCACCCGTATCCTCTTTCCCTTCTGTGTCACTCTTAACCCTTATTCCGCTCTCCCTCGCTACGAAATTAACTCGCATTCCGAGCTTCCTTTGATGTCGGAGTGTCACTGACCATCGTTGGCCGCCTCGATTCGCGCATAAGCGTCGAATCGTGTCGCTTACGATACATTCTGGACCTGACTCGTTACTCGCTCACGTCTTTGTGGACACGTTTAATTGGAAACTCCTAGGGTTCATTTTTCTCTCGATAACGCACGGATGCTTGGATTAAACGAACATCACCGATGCGTGCGTTTAGGATGATTTATGTCTTTCGTGCGTGCGTGGAGATTGGGTGTCAGTCGTGGTTGATGGTTCGATCAGAATTTTTGGGAAATTCTTACGGACGGATTGATTAATTACCTACAAAACAAAGTTTACAGATACCAGCATTTGTATCATATGGATTTATTCGATTTCCCTAATATAGGCAACGTCGCACACATGGAACACGTATTGGGATGAATGAGCTCTCAGAGACATTCATCTATGAATGTCAAACAATAGATGACTCTTCAACAGGAAATTACTGCATCAAACTTTAATTAAAAAATTATCATGTCTATGTTCTTCTCCGCCATTTTACTCTTCCTCCTCTTCAAGGCAGTTCGGTCTCATAGAACTTTCAAGTATAAGGTGAGTGGATTCATGAGTGGGTTCTTAAAAGCTCTCTAAATTCTGCAGAAAATAAGAATAACATCTTATAAACCAGCTACGACTTGAAGTGCGACCCGGTTGAAAAATTGTGACGTGATATGAAATTGATTTCGGTATGCATTTGTAGAACAACAGCAATATATTCATTTCAGGATTACGATTCATAGGTGAGCATTAAGAG